TTAGGAGGTTTAGTCTAGTTAGGATGTTTGTGTGATGCTGTTTTCTTATCTGGAGTTAATGATGAGATTATGAAGTTAAGAACTGTTATTCTGTCATAGCTTCTGTCCGAAATTCAGTCTGTACTGAAGTCGTCATGGTGACTAAACAGACCAGATTTCAGAGTTAAGATGTTTCTGTAATCTTGTTCTCTTATCTAAGGTTGAGACATGATTATGAACTTTGGAACTGTTATTACCAACAGTTCACAAAGCAACTAGACAAGATTTCAGAGTTAGGACGTTTTTGTGACTGGCAGTCAGATCACAGTGTAAGATGAATAGTATGCAACAAAACTTTTGTTCTGTGCTATAAATAAATAAACCTACAGTTTATTTGACCCCACCCCATTGAAGTATAACCACTGAGCGTAAGGTATTTGTTGTCACGCCTTGAAGGTGGGTCTTCGGCCATTTCTTGAGGAAGAGCCAGAGCAGGTAAGAGGAGTTTCATATCTGCTTAGGATATATGTACAAATATATATAAACAGTACAGTTATACAGCGAAAACATAGCTCATGTGCATGTTTAACCACCCATAGTCTTGGTGTTGAATAGTTTTGTTTTGCACCCTGTTTGGTGGCATGTAGAGACACGCTGAAGCTGACGAAGCTCAAAAACAGCTGAACACAGCGGTTACAGCTGCAGTTCAAATCTCAAATGCATTTACTTGCTTCAGGGAGGCCAGCTGAGCAAGAATGGGCTGCTTATTGTCTGTTTTAGAGTGTCATAAAACTGGCACGTGTTCTCATGCGTGCGGCCATTTGCAGTGATGGCGGCCATTTTGTGACCATCGATGATATTAACCCAAAAATGACATCATCAGATCATCTTATCCCTTTAATCCTGTCTGTACTGCTGCAACCGACAGCACAACTCACTGCTGGCATGTTTTATAGCACTTGTACAGCCACACAGAGGTTAACAGACCAGCATCTCAAATGTGCAGACAGATAGACAGCCAGGGACATGGAAGGTGGACATACTGAGGGGGCTGCAGTGCCCCATTTCTGGATTAATTGTTTAACAGCAACCGCAGCGGTTAAAATAATGTTAGATAAGCAATAAAAGAACTTTGTAGGCCTGTGTGTCTTTGTGATTCCGTATGTTTCATTTTGTGTTTTATTTACATATTTTCAAAATCTACATCATCCGTTCAGTGAGCCAGATCGCTTCCCTTGCCAACTGTTGGCTGCTCTGTCCTTTGATGTGGCGATATGAGTATGATAAAGTTTCATAACACTGTTCATGTGCCAGTTGATACAGTCCATATATGGAAACCAAACCATAACAACAGCCTGTTTAGAATTCTTTGTTCCAGTGCTCAGTTTTTTGAACAGCCTGAAAAAAATGTTTGTTGTGTGGATTCATGAAGTACTGTTCAATCCCCATCCCATACAGACTGTATATGTAAACTGAACTGCAAAAACATCCTGTTTTGAGTTCACTGTTGTTGTGTTCATTGTTTTTTTTAATTCAATGTTTTTTTTTCACATTTATGGTAGTTGCTACATGCGAGCTCACACTGGCAGTAGTGGAGAACATTAGGAGTAGCTGTGTTATTATATAATACCCAAACAGACCAGCTGGCTTTGTCCAGTGTGGTAGTTCAGTAGCTTTGTCAGTAGTGGAGAACATTAGGAGTAGCTGTGTTATTATATAATACCATAAACAGACCAGCTGGCTTTGTCCAGTGTGGTAGTTCAGTAGTTTTGTCAGTAGTAGAGAACATTAGGAGTAGCTGTGTTATTATATAATACCCTAACCAGACCAGCTGGCTTTGTCCAGTGTGGTAGTTCAGTAGTTTTGTCAGTAGTAGAGAACATTAGGAGTAGCTGTGTTATTATATAATACCCTAAACAGACCAGCTGGCTTTGTCCAGTGTGGTAGTTCAGTAGTTTTGTCAGTAGTAGAGAACATTAGGAGTAGCTGTGTTATTATATAATACCCAAACAGACCAGCTGGCTTTGTCCAGTGTGGTAGTTCAGTAGTTTTGTCAGTAGTAGAGAACATTAGGAGTAGCTGTGTTATTATATAATACCCTAACCAGACCAGCTGGCTTTGTCCAGTGTGGTAGTTCAGTAGTTTTGTCAGTAGTAGAGAACATTAGGAGTAGCTGTGTTATTATATAATACCCTAAACAGACCAGCTGGCTTTGTCCAGTGTGGTAGTTCAGTAGTTTTGTCAGTAGTAGAGAACATTAGGAGTAGCTGTGTTATTATATAATACCCTAACCAGACCAGCTGGCTTTGTCCAGTGTGGTAGTTCAGTAGTTTTGTCAGTAGTAGAGAACATTAGGAGTAGCTGTGTTATTATATAATACCCTAAACAGACCAGCTGGCTTTGTCCAGTGTGGTAGTTCAGTAGTTTTGTCAGTAGTAGAGAACATTAGGAGTAGCTGTGTTATTATATAATACCCAAACAGACCAGCTGGCTTTGTCCAGTGTGGTAGTTCAGTAGTTTTGTCAGTAGTAGAGAACATTAGGAGTAGCTGTGTTATTATATAATACCCTAACCAGACCAGCTGGCTTTGTCCAGTGTGGTAGTTCAGTAGTTTTGTCAGTAGTAGAGAACATTAGGAGTAGCTGTGTTATTATATAATACCCTAAACAGACCAGCTGGCTTTGTCCAGTGTGGTAGTTCAGTAGTTTTGTCAGTAGTAGAGAACATTAGGAGTAGCTGTGTTATTATATAATACCCAAACAGACCAGCTGGCTTTGTCCAGTGTGGTAGTTCAGTAGTTTTGTCAGTAGTAGAGAACATTAGGAGTAGCTGTGTTATTATATAATACCCTAACCAGACCAGCTGGCTTTGTCCAGTGTGGTAGTTCAGTAGTTTTGTCAGTAGTAGAGAACATTAGGAGTAGCTGTGTTATTATATAATACCCTAAACAGACCAGCTGGCTTTGTCCAGTGTGGTAGTTCAGTAGTTTTGTCAGTAGTAGAGAACATTAGGAGTAGCTGTGTTATTATATAATACCCAAACAGACCAGCTGGCTTTGTCCAGTGTGGTAGTTCAGTAGTTTTGTCAGTAGTAGAGAACATTAGGAGTAGCTGTGTTATTATATAATACCCTAACCAGACCAGCTGGCTTTGTCCAGTGTGGTAGTTCAGTAGTTTTGTCAGTAGTAGAGAACATTAGGAGTAGCTGTGTTATTATATAATACCCAAACAGACCAGCTGGCTTTGTCCAGTGTGGTAGTTCAGTAGTTTTGTCAGTAGTAGAGAACATTAGGAGTAGCTGTGTTATTATATAATACCCTAACCAGACCAGCTGGCTTTGTCCAGTGTGGTAGTTCAGTAGTTTTGTCAGTAGTAGAGAACATTAGGAGTAGCTGTGTTATTATATAATACCCTAAACAGACCAGCTGGCTTTGTCCAGTGTGGTAGTTCAGTAGTTTTGTCAGTAGTAGAGAACATTAGGAGTAGCTGTGTTATTATATAATACCCAAACAGACCAGCTGGCTTTGTTCAGTGCGGTAGTTCAGTAGTTTTGTCAGTAGTAGAGAACATTAGGAGTAGCTGTGTTATTATATAATACCCTAAACAGACCAGCTGGCTTTGTCCAGTGTGGTAGTTCAGTAGTTTTGTCAGTAGTAGAGAACATTAGGAGTAGCTGTGTTATTATATAATACCCTAACCAGACCAGCTGGCTTTGTCCAGTGTGGTAGTTCAGTAGTTTTGTCAGTAGTAGAGAACATTAGGAGTAGCTGTGTTATTATATAATACATAAACAGACCTGCTGGCTTTGTGCAGTGTGGTAGTTCAGTAGCTTTGGTAGCTACTTAAGACCTCATAATTCAGAAGATCCAGTAAAGATCTGTTGAAAAATGTTCACTGAACAAATACATCAAGTTTAGAAACGTTTTGTTCACCTCAGAGCACAATAGCAGTAAAAACTGCATTCATTTTTTACCATTGAGAAATCCAGCTTAGACCCAGAGTTTCTAATATGTGCGTGATGCCGACTACAGAATGAGCCACAATTTAGAGATCTAAGCTTTCCTGCATCCCTGCAAACAACTATTCAAAATAAAACAGAATATAAAACGTGTCATAAAATTTGCACAGGCTACATATTTTGTTTTTTCCAATATGTTACATGCAGCAAATAAACAGTAATTAAACAAATAAACATTGTGTATCAAAACATGGAATTTGACCAAGAGGACCAAAACTTTTTTATATGCGTTAGGGTAATGAAATGTTACTTGAGTTTCTTGGATAATGCAACCATTTTTAATTAAATACTTTTATTATTAACTAATTTATTATATACTTTTATTATTAATTATTATTAACTGTAGAGTTGTGTCTGTTGTGGTAGGAGCAAAGAAAACATTAAAATATGCAGTGCAGATGGACTCCAAGACACTAAACTAGGAGGGACACCAAACTAGGAGCTAAAGCTACTAGGATTGGGTTAAAAATAAACAAAAAGAGACAGTGTTGTCTTTTTTGTATGTAGTGAGATTTTTCTTAAAGTCTTCTTATGTTTTTTTTTTTTTCATAGATTCTACGAAAATGATGAAGAAGATCTTCCTTCAGATTTCCCTCATCTGGACCATCATCTCTGCCGGTCAGTAGTCAGATAGATGATTTAAATGTAAATAAAGATTTCTAAATGTTGCTGGGCTTGGATGCACATTTCTAGAGAGTCAAATGTGTGATTGGTACAGAACCTTTACATGAAGCGGAGATCTGATAAACTTTAAAAACAGTTATATCTCATTTACAAAAATTACCATATACTGAAAGGTTCTTTATGACATTGCTTCAAAGAACCCTTTCTGCACCTGTATTTTTAAGAGTGTGCAGTAGTCATAAGTCTTCTAGCTTGAGCTGTTACCCCACCCCGCCCCAATTCCTCCAGACGATGACTTGACTATAAATAATCTACTGTCTATAAAGTGCTAAAATGCATTCATTTTCTCCTCTAGTCTCTACAAAGCCTCAGATCAACATATCTGCCCAAGTGGGTTCCTCAGTGCTTCTGCCGTGTAATATTTCCAGCAAATTGTCATCCAGCCAAAAGCCACACATCGAGTGGCACATCTCTTCTGAGATAGTGTTTGAGCGATGCGTTAATGAGTCATTTTCAGGTGAGGGCTATGAAGGCCGTGTGGACGTTCCTGAAGATAAGCTGAGTCAAGGAGATGGTTCCCTGGTGTTGAAGGATTTCAGACATGCTGATGGAAAGGTCTATGAATGCTACCTTATAGAGAAGGAAGGCCTCCAAAATAAACGGGCTTTCATTCAGCGTGTCAACCTCTCAGTTGAAGGTAAGGATGTTATGCTCAGAAGAACAGATATCAGAAACAGTGTTTATGTTGGGCAGTACTGTTATGGGCTGTCGTGTACAGAAAACTGCCCTCCATATAAATAAGCAGTGGTGACACTCTTTACCCTTTGTCTCTTTTGATCAAATGATTAAGCCAAATGTAATCTCGACACACTTACCGAACGGCTGTGATCTGGATCACTCCTTTCCTGGGATTTACTGCCCCGGAAATGTTTTCTAATTTATTGTGTTTATTTATTAGTGTATCAGTGACCTTTTATTCAAAGATTTTCCTTTGTGTTTGCTGTTTGTTCATCGTCATTCTGAACCTGATAAAGCCATGTTAATAAAGTCATATGAAGTCAATTTAGCACAGATCTTTCAGAAAAATCAGTTTTAATACGACCCCATTTCCAAAAAAGTTGGGACGCTGCGCAAAATATAAATAAAAACAGAATTCAATGCTATAAAAATCATGTAAACCCTATATTTCATTGAAAATAGCACAAATACAACAACTGAGAAACTTTACTGTTTTTTGAAAAATGTATGTCCACTTTTAATTGGATGCACCTGGATGACTACACAAACAGCAGTAAATAAAGTCTGTGGAGTGTGTACAATACAGTTATGTCACATTACTTTTCTATTTTTGATATTTTCAGTTCCCCCAGAACCAACTAAGGAGAGTCTCCATTTGAGTAAGTAAACGTCTGTCTTACTTATCATGGAAAACTGAATTTTCCTTGCTTGTTTGTAATGTTTTCATAATAGAACATTAAATGAGTTTGATGTAGAATGTAAACAGTGCTAAAGATTAAAAATGTTCAGTGGGGGAAAATGTAGGATATGGGTCAGTTAAGTGTAAAACAACGTCACTCATCAGTCTATACAGTCCGTTTATTTAAACTAAGCTGCACAAACAGCCTGGTATTAATTTGCTGTTTTTATGAAGTCATGAAGACCCACTCATACATGTATATATATATCCATCCACCTATTCAGCTTGCAGCAGCTTAGCTCCACCCACTCACACTGACATTCTGGTTAAATCTGAGGATTTTGTAAATTGGCTGACTCGTTGGCCTTCAGATGACCTTGTGCAACTATTTACAAGAAGTAATAAAAATGATAATTTGGCAATTTTTATGACACAATTGTAATTACTCAGCCATTAAAGCACAAAACACCAGTGATACATGGAAGTTATGAGCTGCCTGATGAAATTATTATTAATAAATTAATGAAATATAGTGAGCGAGTGTGACTCGCCTTCTCAATATTGGTTGATTGATTGATTAATAGATAGTGTAGTGGGTAACACCTCTTCCTTCTATGTTGTAGACTGGGGTTCAATCCCCGCCTGTAAGCACCCTACACTATACCAATCAGAGTCCTTGGGCAAGACTCCTAACACCACCTTCACCTACCTGTGCAAAATGATCAAATTGTAAGTCACTCTGGATAAGAGTGTCTGCCAAATGCTGTAAATGTAAAAATCGGCTTTGTGATGAGCTGTTTTACAGATGCAGAGCAACTATGAAACGGGATGAAAAGAGAAAAAATAGAGAATCATAAGGGAAACTGTGTAAATGTACATACCGACTTTTGGAGCTGTGCCTAATATTTTAAGCATCATTTTAAGCCACCTTTGTGACATGGTTTCCCACTACAAATGGAAAATAGCCTGATCTTTGTTGGCTTTGCCTCTAACAACTCTATTTCACAGCTGTATATTTTTGGTTTATGTGACTCACTGAAGCATCTAATGTCACAGATGGTGCTAGATTTCGGTCACTGAAAAGGTCGAAATGGTGTCATTGTGCCTTCAGACTTTTAGACACCCAGTAAGCTGTGAGTCTTATACTGACAAATTCCCTTAATAACCCTGTGGTTAATCATTACAGAGCAATAACTGTGCCACATAGATCAGTTACACTTTGTAGTTGTGAGACTCTCACACTGTGGCACTACCAGGAGGCTCAAATCCCCTTACATACCCAGCCATTACCATGTCTTGGGATGTCTTAAGACATGTCTAAAGACACATTATGAAGACATCTTAGGACATCTTGAAGCATGTCTTAAGAAATGAAGACATGTCTTTAAGACATGTCTATAGACACGGATCTTAAGATGTCTTGGCAGTAATAACATCCCAAGATGTCTCAAGATGTAGGATGCATAATATTTATTTTTAAATTTTACCTAAACATTTTTTTGAAATAAATCTTTTACTTTTAAATGTGTTTAAAGGGATATTAAAATGTAAACATTATACATCATTTATAGCAAAAGCTAAAGAATTGAATTTTTTAAAATTATTTTATTTTTTATTCTATGTAGGATGCATAATAGTATTATTGACTTTCATATATGTTATTTTATAAACATACAAAAGGATATTTCAAAGTCTTAATTGATCTGTATCACTGGAATCGGACTGATAGTTAAATTATACTCTTCTTCACACTCTCTACAGGGCATGCTGGGGTGAACTGTCCTTCTCCATGGATTATAGCACTTTGTCTCCTCTCGTACTTCCTCTTCCATAGAACTTTTGTATGTTGAGGTGCATCTTCAAGGATCAACACTGCAGTGAACTGAAGGGATAAGATGTCTAGAGCTCCTGGAAGACTGAAGTCAAGACTTTTTTTGGCAGTGATGGAAGAGGATGGTGACAAAAATGGACAACATCTATGGTGCAATACTCAAGAGCAGCTTTAGCCACCGGCTAATTCCCCCAGGGTGCCATGGGAGCTGCTCTGGCAGCTACTATTAGCTCCTCAATGCTTCCATCCAGGTTGTTACCTCATGACTTGTCTCTCAGAGCAGACAATAGGACAGAATTTTCCTGACAAATATGTCACTAGACTCTTTGCACATATTTTAATGCAGCATATTAGCTAAACAGTTTCAGAAATTTTTACACACTTTAATATTTAATGTTGTAGTTGACATCGTCTAGTCAAAGGGCTATTTTTCAATTGCAGTCCCTGGGCAGGTTGATGATAGAAAGTTTAAACAATGCACCTTAACTAGGCAAAAAAGACCATTTAGGATTTTAAAACTAATACTGCGTTTGAGAATTTAACAGGATTTTCCCATCTTAAGAAAACATACTTACAGTGATGATGTTGATTTGACGTTTTATCTAAGACTTTTAAGGCTTGTTTACATACTGGCTCATTCACCTCAAGAACAGTCTTGTATCCAGCGTGTTTGATGATAAGTGTTATGAGAAAAGATCATGGCATTCATGTACAATTTTGCTGCTTGGATTTGTCAATCTCTAAATCCAAAAGTAGTAAAATTAAATTTGACCATAGTTGCAATATATTTTACATGCTTTTAAAAGGCAGCTGTGAATCCTGTATTAACCCTAGATATTTAAACTCACACACAACCTCAAGGTTCTTTCATCTGTGCCATCTGGGTAGATCTGACAAGTAATAGCAGGAGGACAGATGTTTGGAAGGTCAATTAACATAAAAACTAAATAACAAAGGACCCGAAATTGACCCTTGTGGAACTCCAACCTCGTAATCTGAGTACTTAGATGTTTTAGATATTCACACACATTGTTTTCTATTCTCTAAATAAGAATCAATTCATGGTAATATAATAAAAGTAACAACTTTTCAAATAGAATTTTATGATTCGCTGAATGAAATAGTTTCTTTAAATCAAGAAAAACGGCACTAACCCCACAAATTCTAAAAAAAGAAGCAGAGATAACTGAGTAACTGTTGGCAAAATATGAAATCAGCTGTTCTGCTGTCCATTTTTCAGCAAAAAGACAGGGAGGATGCTCCTGGGCTGAAGGCCGTCATGTAACTCCATGCAGTTCTGTGCAAGGCAGGGAACAACAACTCCATTAAAAGTAAATGGCTGAGATGTGCACGCAAAAAATGACTGCAGTAGTGTGAACACTTCTTTACAGTTATGGTGCATCGACTGTTAGCCACTTTGTGGGAGTGTTGCTTAAATACATCCAGGTTCTGTCCAGGCACAGTGCCAGGCTAGTGTTGTGATCTGATGAAACACAGGTGATAAAAGGCCCAGTATTCTTCAAAACATAAACTAATGTGATGTCAGTGTGCAGTTTAATGCAGATGTAGCACACAGTGGCACTTTTTAATGAATATTTTACAACCTTTTATCACACTTGTCAAGCAGCTGCTTTTCCCCCAACCCCTCATGCACAGCTGCTGTCTGTCTGCATAGAAATTAATGAGAGGCAAAACAAAAATCAACTTATTTTGCATTATCAACCCTGACCAGAGGACTGGAATTCATAGTCCCTAAGAGAAAATGTGACTGTGTGTTTCCTGAAGGTCAATGTAACTGTTAAAGAAAAGAGCTATATATGAAGGGCTTCATAACAAAATGTTTTATATTCGTTTGCAGTTAATGAATGAACGTGGTACATTTATGTGGCATTAAGCATAATATAGCACTGATATTTTTTATATATTTGTATAAATCCCTACAAATAAATTATATTTTGAAAAGAAAATGATGGAAGCAATGAATTTGGAAAATAACCCTTCACACACACATTTGTACAGTGGGATTCAGTGGTCTAAGCCCCTTGGTGAAAATCTATTTTGCTTTCTTTTCTAATTCTATTATATGTTTTTCATTACAAATGATATTATCAGCAGAACACTGAGTGAAAAGTAGAATCTTTAAAATATTTACATGTATTTCAGAATTTCTTAGCATTTAAGTGGCCCCTTTTTGATTAATTGATTAATTGATTAATTAGGTGTTAATCAATTAGGTGTTGAACTTATGTATCCCATGGCATCCTAACCTAATGTTGTTTCCAGCCTCCAAAATGACTCGGGGAAGGCAGCAGCCAGCAGAATGCTCGCTTTTCCACCTACAGGAGCTGTTCCCACCCATAAGGGCAATGTGAGCCCAACAGCACAAAAATCAGAGACTCTGGGCCCATATAAGAGAGAAGGAAATAAAAGCCATGAGGAAAATCTGGTGGAGGTGATTTGGAAGCGAGATATGTTGTGGCAGATTTTCGTGGAATTTCAAGACTGCTTTGCATTTGAGGAGGAGGAGTTGGGGCAGGCACACCTGCATAACATCACCACTAGGGAGGCCACACCAATATAGCAGCAGCCCTGACTTCTCCCTCTGGGCCAGCAGGAGGCTGCAGACCAAGTCCTGGGAAAAATACTGTGTGTGGGCACACAGTCCATCACCACATAAAGATGGCACGGTTAAATTGTCCCAGTTTAGTGCTATTAATAATGAAATTCTAATTCAAACAGTGAGTCATCTCAAATCTCCCCTTTGTAGTCTTGACATGTTACCAACTTTTTAAAGAATGTGTTTCTCAACAGCAGTGGACATACAGATACAGTAAAAAATGCTTTCTGTCCTTAAATAGCTGCCTAGAGAAATTTCAGGCAGGTTTTTGGGCTAATCATAGTACTGAAATGGCTCTAATTAAAGTTATTAATGACATTCATTTAAATACAGACTCTGGAAAAACATTTGTTCTACTACTGCTCGATCTCAGCGCTGCCAATACCATTGACCATAAAATTCTAATAGATAGAATTGAGAACTGGGTTGATCTCTCAGGAACTGTCCTAAAATGGTTCAGTTCATACCTGCAAGGAAGGGACTACTTTGTGGAAATGGAAAATAATGTTTTTGAAAGAGTGCCAGTGACCTGTGGTGTCCCCCAGGGCTCAATTCTTGGACCACTCTTTATACATGCTGCCTCTTGGCCAAATACTACAAGACAATGGGATATCTTACTACAACTATGCAGATGATACTCAGATCTACTTGGCCCTCTCCCCACACAGCTATGGTCCCCTTGACTCACTCTAAGTGCCTTGAGCACATCACTAACTGGATGGGACAAAACTTTCTGAAGTTGAATAAAAGATAAAAAAGAGATTATTTTATTTGGGAACAGCATTGAGAGGCACAGACTAGCTCCCTATCTGAATTCAAGAGCCCTAAAATCTAAAGAACTGGTGCGTAACCTTGGTGTACTGATGGACTCAGATCTCAGTTTTATCAGTCGTGTGAAAGTAGTTACTAAATCAACTTTTTATCACCTTAAGAATATCAACAAGAACAGACATTTTCTGACTAAATCAGACCTGGAGAAACTCATCCAAGCCTTTATTTCTAGCACGATTGATCACTGTAATGGTCTCCTAACTGGACTCCCAAAAAATCAAACCACTTCAACTGATTCAGAATGCAGCTGCCAGAGTCTCACCAGGAGTAAAAGAAGGAACACATCACCCCCCAACCCCCCATTCTTAAATTCTTACACTGGCTACCAGTTCGTTCCAGATTAGACTTCAAGATACTATTACTGGTCTATAAATTGCTCAATGGTGCAGGACCAGCATTTTCTAAGCTGCTTTCTGCCTTCTGGGTCATGGGGGGAGCTAGAACATATCCCAGCGGTCATTGGGCAGAAGGCAGGATACACCCTGAACAGGTCGCCAGTGCAGGACCAGCATATTTATTTTATAGGTTGCAATGATATGAGCCGAGCAGAACTCTCACATCATTAGGAACTGGTCAGTTAGACCTGCAGAAGGTAAAAACTAAACATGGAGCAGCGTTTAGCTACTATGCGGCTCTTAATTTTTTTTTTCTCTTTTAAATTTGTTTTAATCAGGTTTTAATTAAATAACCTGCCTTGCCGTGCCTTGTATATCCCATCCCTAATAATGCTGGGGAGGGAAATCAGGACCCATGTGTAAGTAGCTTTTGGTTGCCCCCCAGATCAGCAGGCCCAGAGTACGCCTGGCAGCTCCAAGATCACAAAGACACAACACATGCATATGCTAGGAAGCAAATAGTGAGTTCCAGCATGCGACAGAAAAGGAACTATGACCTAGACACTCATGGGCAGCACTTTGCAGTAGGGAAGCCCATGTGGGTTTACAGCCCAAAGAAAAAGAAGCGTAAGTGCCCTAAATCGGACAGCCACTGGGTAGGACTGTGGGTCCTAGGAAGGTTAGGAGAAGTTGTGTACAGAGTGCAGCTCCCACCCTGCAGGTGCAAAGTGGCACTATAACAGTCTGGCACCATACAGGGGCTGCATCAAAACACAGTTAGACCATGCTGGGAAAGAGCTATCTTAGGTCCCTGCAGCAAAGGCAGAGTCAGGTCTATTGTCCAGCCTGGGTGGGGCGGCTGATAGAGCGCTGGCAACCCCTGCCGAACCTGATTCCCCTTCCAATGCTTCCCCTCAACCCCAGTCAGTGCAGACTACTCACCAGGGGTAGTGTAGCAAGTTTGGGAAATGTTTTTCCTGTTAGTTTTGGAGTGGTTCTTCTACAGCATTCATTCACTGTTTTTTTTTTCTACATGGACTCTTATTGTAAGGTGGGGCTAGCCTGCCAGATGTGTGTTTATGATCTGGAGTGGAGAGAGGAGTTTGGGAGAGGCAAGGCTGGAGTCAGAGACAACCTATATTAAAGTTTACAGTTGTGGAAAAGCTGTGTGCCTCCTTCTGTAGCAGTGAAACACTATAGTATGTTTGAAAAAGAAAAAAGAACAGCATCTGATGAAAAGAACACCTTGTCCACTGCCAACTGTTAAACGTGAGTTTGGAGCTGTAATGATTTTGCACACAATAGTGGACAGCATGAGTATATGGAAGAAGGAATTCCACTAGATATCAGCAAATTCTGGAAGCAAACATACCACAGTAAAGAAACTGAAGCTGACAAGAGGCAAGATACTACAGTATGACCATATGACCCACATTTTATGTTCAGTTTTTTCCCCAAT